TAATACTTTTTTTTTTTTACATTTAACACACTGTCAGATTTTAGGGGGCCAAATTCTTTACAGTAAGTGTCTGTGAGTTGTTGACGATAAATTTCCACAATAAACAGACAGCATATAATCCACATGTTGTAAAATAATATATTCAAAATAAGTCAAATGTATCTACAAAAATTTGTTACACTATGGGTTATCACAGTTCTATCTGAGCTTTAAATAATTGCCCCTTTTTCATCACAGTCCACACAGGCAAGTTCAGTTGCTTTAGAACACCCTTTAACAAGACAAATTATTCTCTTCTACTCTGTTGTTACAATACAAGGCTGTGACACTCACTTCAAAATCACCACTATAACTCTTTGTTACGGCATTTATATCCAGAGCTTTAAATAATTGTATCCTTTTTGTCCAAGTCCATACAGGTGGGTTCAATTACTTTAGAACACCCTTTCACAAGACAAATTATTCTTTTCTACTGGGACATAACAATACAATAAAAACTAAATTCACTTATTTTACCTTGCGGGTTACCACAGTTGTATCCTGAGCTTTAAATAATTATCTTTTATGTCAAAAGTCCACACAGGCTGGTTCAGTTACTTTAGAACCAAATTGACAAGGTGAATTATTCTTCTCTACTATTATTACAATACAATACGACTTTAAAAAGTCACCACCATACACACTTTATGCCTAAACTCACCATCACCCAGTCTAACTTCACTTTTTCAGTTTTACTTTCACTAACTTACTTACTTACTTACTCTCTCCATGTGCGTGTATTTATGACATGCGAGAGAAAAATCTATTAATATGTAGCCCTCTAGTAACAACATTACACATAATGAGAAACTTAGAAGCTTTGAGTAAAATGACATCAACAATAATACAAAAGCCTAGTGCAATTAAACTACATATACAATGTTCGACTTGTACAACAAAACTTGTCATAACTATCACTTTTAAAATAATTAACTTTTACCACTCTTGTTATGAAAACTAAATAATCATTGAATATTAAATCACTAAAAAACTAAATAATAACTTATAAACTGAACAGTCTTGTATATCCAATGAAGTGTGTACAATTAAGTTGTGTAAGAATTTACACATTTTTAGATTACCACTGCCGTTTTATTTTATCACCTCATACAAAAATAACAAAATTAATTGGAGTTGAATATGTACTTTATTTAGTTGCTATACAGTGTCTAGAAACAGCATATGGTGTTGTTTCTGATGGGCCTGTCATAGTATTACTCTCCACCAACCAATCTCTCCTTGAAATCTTTACTGAAGCAATGACCACAGTTGCCCATGGTATGTCTATTTTTGCATTGATGACAGCTGTATAAGCATGTTATAGATACTAATTTAATAAGCTTTGAACAAGATTAGGATATGCTATATGTATTACATGTATGTGTTGCAGGCTTCAGAACTTTTTTGCTTATGTATTTGATGAGAATTATGGAATGTTTCATAAATTGTGATATATTTCATGCCTATCATTAATTTTAATTTTAAAATTACATGTATATTTTATTGAAATATTCCTTATTGAGTAGTGAACTACCAACATAGATGTGGCTGTCAACATATGATATCTAAGTATGTATTGTTGCATTATGTTATCCTAGCATATTTAAGCTCCTGAGTATTGTTTTAATTTAAATGAAAGAACTGTAGTTATTTGCCATTGACTTTCATATTAACAATTGATGAGCACTGAGTACTTCCTAAAATGTGAACAGAATATAACAAATTAACTCCTTCCATATAGGGTCGGTGAATTACACCAGCCATGTAACTCCAAAATAACCATCAGAGTTTTCATACTATAACTTTTCATACAGTATGAAATTTGGCAAGCTTTCAGTAAACATTACAATCTTTTGTACACAAAAATCAGATTTTTTAATCAATATTTTCACTAAGGACTTGCCTGTAAATATGTGGAGTCAGTGTTGACTGCTCCAAGTGCAAATTGATTTTCATTTAAAGATTAAAAATACTTTTCTTCATCTAAAAGTTGTTAAATTTCATTTTCATAACCTTTAATACTTCCTAAATAAATTTCCACTTTTTTATCCGGTAAAACTTTGTATTTTATCTGTTATTTTCTATACCCTAAATCTATGTGCATTCAGTCAATTTGAATGACCTCATAATCACCATAAAAAAATAGTGTTACGTCTCCGTTTGTTAATTAACTTTCCGTAACTTTGTTCCAACGAAACTTTAACGACACAAGTCTTTACTTAATAAAACTGGTTTATTCTTTCCGAATATAAATAACTCTGCGATACACTTAATCTCAATACTCGCGCTAAAACAACACTGTTAATTGGCTATGTCAAGCTAGTCGCCAAACTCTAGTCGGTAGATTTAATATTTAGGAGTTATACCTGTGTTTGTAAAAACAAAACATTTTGAATAGTTTTTGTATATTTATTAAAAAAAACGTAACTAACTTTCCAAATTAAGTACAGGTTTGCCCTACAGTATCAAAACGCGAACATATAAAGAAGAAATGAATATCCCGATAGCATTCTCTATCCAGGTAACACACAGTAAAAACATTTTAATGCAAAAGAAATCGGTAAGTTCAAGAAAAATAAGAGAATTTATGATGTCATATATATATATTGTTGCGTCATCGAGATCACGTGACAGTTCTCACGCTCTCTTGTTTCTAGAACTATCCCGTATCTTGGCGAATGGTCTAGTAATTGCTCGATGTAGGGTGGGCTAGTATATATAAAGGAGGGGAATGTGAGGTGGGTATATAGATAGTGAGTAATTGAACTGCAGTCACACGGTATTGTTGAAGTTCGTTCGTTTTTATGAGCATCAATTAGTGTCATGAAAATAATCAAATAATCGAAATTAGTGTTTCTGATTATTACTATTTTTGATTAGTCCAACTAGTCAAGTAATCAAAGTATTGCCATTATGATTTCTTATTCTTTTAAATTAAATAAAGGTTGTTCAACTTAATCAACTAGTCTCAAAACTCATAAAAATAATCATTTAATCAAAATCGTTTCCCGTTGTTACTATCTTTTGTTATTCTAACAATCCAAATCTCACGTGAGAATAATCAATAAATTGAATTTAATCGATTAACGAGCCTGATGAGTAATTATCGAATTCCCCTAATCTCCCAGCTGAATAATACCGACACCCATATTCATAACTTCTAAATATTTAACAGAACATTTCCTGAAACTGATCTTCATTGATCTACATAACATATATTGAAAACTACACTATAATTACACTATAATTGGAAAACAACCGTCTGAAACGAATGTTGTGATAAAGCCATTTTGATGTCAAAGTGATATCATGTTATCTTCTGAACGTACGCATACACTACATACAACATGTCCTCTGGTGCAATATATTCGTGTATGTCAAAGAAAATAATACAGTTTCAAATGCTGAAGAATAGGAAGTGCTCAGAAAATTCTTAACTGCTCAATCACTCTGGTAGATTTGTGCCAATGGCTTCAAGTTTTAGCTTTTTTAAAAACACGTTTATTTCGCTGTAAACTAATTACATTTTGTTTGATTCTTTTCAAATATTTCAATTTTAATTTTTCTGATATATGATTCTTGAAATATTAAATATCCCAGATCTGGAAGAAAAATCTTATGAAGAAGTTTCAAATCACCTCTAGTTATTTTGCTAACCATTTAATAAGATTAAAGAATGTATACTAAAAACTTTCTAACTTTCAACCAATCTAACAATTAAATAAAATGCAACATCATTTGAAACATGGTGTACATCTATGGTAAATAAATACCATTTATAGCTACACACACAAAAATATTCATATTTTATAAATTAACACACAAAAGCTTTACATATTTTGTAAGAATTTATGTTTTCAAATAAGTACATATATATATATATATGAAAACAAATATATTTGACTGGGTGTATAATCAAAATTAGTAATTCCTGATGTATGTTTTTTCTGATACTGTTTGTTATTCTACTTTGAATGAAAATTCTCCTACTGATTTATATTTTCCACATTTACAATAGGATACAGGTAGCAATGGAATTTCCGTGAATTAGCTATGCCATAAATAAATGGCATCTAAAAACATAAGCTTCATAAAATAATCCCTTTATATACAAAATAAAATGTAACAAAACTTTGTATAGTTTCAAAATATTTATTATATTACACGTTATTAGTTTACAAGAGAATTTCTAACAAAAACTGAAACATAAAGTTGCAAAATATTAAAACCCAATACAGTAACAATCATTTTACATGTACATTCACAAATATCAAATTCTTATTTATTCTGTTAAATGTGTTATGAGTTCACCATAGAAAAAAGCCACATTATGAGTCAGATTATCTTTGTGAACTGTTAAAGACTTACTCTATGTACTTTAAATGAGATGCATAACCTATCATAAGCATTGTACAAGCCACATGCTATTCAAAAACATAAAATTTACGTCTTACAAAATCTGATTTCTTAAATAACCCCTCCTCCTCCAAGAAACTAAAAACTACTTAATTCACTAAAAGACAACATTTAAGTCATCATGTAGATGTAAATGTATTCAAGAACAGTACTACAGTATTAAATTAAAGAGTTTGTATAAGACTTTCTATGAGCACTTTCACCCAACTTTTACTGTTTTACTAAAAATAAACAAGCAAAATTTCAGAACTCAAACTGTACATGCACCTAAAATTTTTATACAATATGACCATTTTCCACTTGAGAAAATATAACTTTGTAAACCAGTTTTTAATCCAAATTTTATACTTACAATTTATGAAACACAATAAGATTTTAAATAACCCACATTTTTCTACATCTTGAATTTTATTTAAAAAATAAATAAACAAATCACATACAGAGAACATGAATAGTAACAACACATCTGTAATCTTTATACAATGAAGTGAAAAATAATTCATGATTTCACCTCAAATCACTTTTTTTGTGATAAACACACAAAAAAACACCTAAAAATTAACAATTCTATGTTGGAAAGAAAGTAACCGAGCTTATATCTAATGTGTATTGACTGTGAGTGGACGTTTACTGTGTATTGTACTTAAGGTCCTAGAGAATAAATATTTTTACAGAAAAAAAACAATAATTGGGTTGGTGTTAAAAAGTCTCAGTCTGTGGAAGGAATCAAATGTATGTTACAAAAAAAAAATTAAATAAACTAAGATGGGAATAGATAAAGACATGCTTGAGCAATTTGTTTTCAGTTTGAAAGTATAAGTTCAATAACCCATTCAGCAAAGTTATGAATATATTCACAGATATTTTGGTTCTCCTAAATAACTCATATATCAAGTCAATTGTTTTCCTACATATGTGATTTTTAGAACTAGCAGTGTACATATAATACATGTCCTTATAGACGTGCACATTAAAAACTGCTTTCCTAATTATGCTCAGAACTGATCACCTCCGAAGCAAATAACTATCTATGTTAAACTGGCTTCTAACATTAAATATGACCTTCACATCAATATTTCACAGTACACACAATAATTTAACAGTATGACTATATGGGTTAGGTACAAAGGCAAGGCTGATACACATTCTATTGATATATTTACAATTACAAGGCATCTTACAATAAAACATGGGCTTATCCTTCCTTTAGACTATTTACAAGTTATGTTATACCTGCATCTTAGTCTCCTTCTGCGAGCAACTTTTTCACATTATTTAGGTACATTGCTGTTTGGAGAGACTTTTCTGTTCCTTTTGCTTCCATGAAACACACTATTTCTTGAAGTCTTAGTTCGGACCACTCTGTGCTCTTTACCAATGGCCTTACTCGCTGATGATTAGCTAACAATGCCCATAGTCCCGAAGCAGCATATAAAGGAAGCATTTCAGATTCATTATTCAGGCAGTTGAAAAATAGAGGAACAATTCTTTCAGATGCTTTCAGATGAGACTTATTGGATGACTGAAAACATAAATTTCTTAAAATAAGAACAGAGTTTTTACAGGCATTAGAGGAGCCTGTAGTTGCAAAGTCTATTAACAAGTTGATGAATCCAGGAATTGTAATAAGTAATTGTTGTCCTTCACTAACTGTGGTCAGCCTGATAAGGAATGTGAACCACAATGTTTCCAAAAGCTGAATATGCATTCCTTTCTGTCTCTGTTTGGGATGCAGTTTGGTGAACTTTTCAAGCAAGTTTGTTCTGGCAATTATGTTTCTGCATTCACTCACACAACAAACATTGGTTAAAACCTGAAAAGCTAGTTTTAAAACAGCTGAATTTCGAGTCTTTGAAAATCTGTCTATTTCTCTTTCAGTTACAAACACAACTTGGTGGAGTGTTGTCATCTTACCAGATGCAGTTCCACTGCTGCCCTGAGTCGTTTCTATAACCAAGGAACTACAAGCTTCTGCACAAAAAGCAGTATAAGTAACCAAAAAGGACAAACAACTAGACATCAGATTAAAATTTGTCAAACATAAGCTCCATATTTTTCTAAGATAGGTGATTATTCTTAATTCACATGCTTGGAGTTTGGCATTTTTTGATTGGTATATCAAATGCTGAAGAATGTGCAACTTCTCAATAAAAAATTGAATCAATTCCTGACATTTTAAATTCTTTCCTTTTTTGGCACAATCAATGAAATTAACAGCATCTTTCAAGTCATTCAACACTGTTTTAAGTAAACCTTTATCCAATACTGCAGACCTAGCAGATGCTGATACACCTAACAAGGAACACATTGTATTGCTCACTACTGATGACCAACTTTCCTTCTCACTTTTAAAAATATAATGGATAGATTTCATTGGCAAATTCATAATGGTAATACCAAACTGTCTTCCAGGTTCTTCTTTTCCTTGGACATCATTGTTATTACCAGTTAGTTCTTGCAGTTGATTGTCAAGAAGTGCTCTAAAAGTAGCAGAAGGGCCTCCTAAGGCTGGATCATCATTTAAACTTTCCTGAGAATGAAAAGTTTCTATTCGTTTTGTTTCAAAAAAGCACAAATGATTCAAAAACTCAAGAGCTTTCCTTCTCAATCTTGGATAATCATCTTGTTTGATGCAAGTGTTTACTTGTTCTGCTATCTCCTTCCAGCTTTGGGCTAAACAAAAACTAATCACAGGCATGGCTAATACTCCTTCAATATTTAGAAGACTAGTAATTACCTGAAACACTGCTATATACAAAGAAGTAACTGCATCAGTTTTACTGTAAGTGGTTATGCTACAATTGACAAAGAGATTTGTCACAACCATCAGATAATGTGGCTGCAGTATGAGATTATGTCTTATTTCTTTGTTCAAAAGACAAGGTTCCAGAAGTCGGACAATTGCAGAATAAAGCAAAAGCTTTTCTTTTCTAAAATTTGGAGTTAAATGTTGGCTAGTTGAAAAAAACTGATAAGTTTGTAAACATCTCAAAAGATGATGAATTAGTTGATGTCGAACCATTTCTAGACCCACAGTATCTGGATCTTGCAGAAGAAGGTTTCGTAACAGAAGACATACTATTCTAATTAAACTTGGTGTAGTTACAAAAAGTGCTCTGTTTTCACATTGCTCAGCATCAGAACTGCAGCTACTGAGACCCCCTAACAATGACTGGTGACTGCCTATGTCATCTTGCTGCTGCTGGGTCATATTTTCAACTCTCTCAATTATGGGAATACCTGTGTTTTTTAAGGTGTCATCTGGAACAATTCTATGCAAAGCAGAGTGAGTTGTTAATAATGTTGACACAGAATCTGGCTTAATGAATTCTTGATTCAGAAAACTGATTGCCAGAAGAGGAATGTTTTCTTCATAGTAAGAATTTGATATCAGGACAACCATTTCCTTATAAAAACTGCTATGCTGTAATACTGTTCTTAAAGCTGCTAATCCTAAAGCAGAAGCAGATACCCTTGGATCATGAATGACTGTACCTTTATCAGAATGCACACATCTATTGTTTTCTGTGGTTAAGGAGAGCACAGTTAAATTACACAAAATAAGAGCTGCCTGTTCACGAACACTACTTGCCTCCCGATGGTCTAAAAGAAAACTCAATGCAGCTCCCCAAATACCACCACTTACCTGTCGAAGTTGTTCACCAAGTAAATGACAACCTCGTAAAGAAACTGTTAAACAAGATGCAATTCCAAGCCCAGCTGTTCTGACTTCTGGGTCTCTATCTGTCCAAAGTGGTAAAAGCCACATTAATCCCAACCTTCTAATATTCCCTGTACTTTCTTCATGGAGCCAATGCATTTCCCAGTTATCCATTTGGGAGCTCATTTCATCTGCTAGTTGATGAAGACACATTGATGCTGCCTTAACAATACCACGCCCCATAAAAGAAGTTGTATTTCCTCCTGATCCAAAGTGAAAAGCAATGACTACATCCATTAAGACTGTGAGCAACTGCCTAGTTAACTCCAGTCTCCTCTTTTCTTGAAACTCTCTACTCCAGAAATGTTTTCCTGTAACATGAAGCAGTGTTACAAGCATTTTCTCTAACATTGGTAAGCTGTAAAACTGTGGAGTACCTGCAACCATTAGCCCCTGGATGAGATGACTAACAAGGCATTCTCTATCATAGACTTCAGTGTCTAGTTTGCATCTTGAAGCAACCACCAAAAGCCTACATACAAGCTTAAGAATCTCCTGCACCAACTGTTTTGGTGTACTACCCTCTTCTACAGAGACAAACTCTGACAGTCTGTTTAACAGTTGTTGAATAGGACCTTCTACTCTACATACTTGTTTCCATAGCCATTGATGCAATTTCATGGGTACATGTGGTAAAGTAAGAAACCATGAACAAAAATCTAAAATATCTATAAACAGTTTCTTGTCTTCTTCACTTGAGGGAAACACTTTAAAAAATCTCTCAAATGAACGATCCCAACCACTGATTAGATTGTAACTATCATCTTCCAGTTGTGAAAAAATTGTGTGCAGTTTTAGAGCATGAAGTGATCTTCTTACTTTATTATGGGTAGTTGCATTTGATATTTCATTGAGAAAAAATGAAATTGCAAACAAAGAATCGGTGTATTTTAAACGTTCCACCTCATGAGTGGTGAAGTCTAGGTGGTCATCACTTTTTGTATTATTTTCATTAGATTTTAATATGTTTTGTAATCCTCCTTGCCAGCACAAGTTCCAACAAACTTTAAGCCTCTCAGCTGCAGCACCAGACTGAAGAGGGTCAGAATGTTCTGGTGTGACTACCACAGCAAAGGGACTTTTCAAGTTATGAATAGGAACAGTGAAAGGAAGATGGTACCTTTTCACTACTACTGCTGGAAGAGAGAATTTGGGCAAACACTCTCCAAATGATGAAATACAACTTATCTCATCAAATAATACAAGTGACAAAAGCTCAGCCAAAATTTTTCTTGTTTTTTTATCCTCTTGATGCAGTAACAATGATTTTAAGACTAGGTAATATAAATGCTCATTGTAAGCTAATCTGTGTCGTAGAATGTTGTCACTAAGAGCTGTACAACGCAACACACTTACACAGCTTGGAAGGACATTAACTGTGAACCCTTTTTCTTCAGTCTCACTACATAAAACACATTTCATTATATCAAAAACTAACTTTATACCACTGTCATTAAGAAAAGCCTCATGAAGATTACTATTTTCTAAAACCAAAGCTAACTGTTGAAAAGCAGACTGTCTAATTCCTCCATCTAGTTTCTGGTTTTTCACTATTTCCATCAGTTTATGCAAAGTATCCCACTGAAATGGCACATCAGAATCATTTCTGCCATTCTTTAAGTTAGATGGGTTGTCAATTAGCAGCAAAGATGAAAGTTGAGGTTTACCAAGAGCAAATTTTGAAACCAAGGGTTTCTTTCTCAATGATTCAGGCTCATGGGATAATATGTCAGCAATTCTTGGTAGAAGCTCAGATCTAACTCGTAAATTTGGATGGAACATCAAACGTAGATTGCTTCTTATAACTTCAAGAAAACATAAAGATGACAAGCCATCTTGAAAGTTTGGGTCTATCATATGGAAAAGGCACCTTCCTAGGGATGTATCCATGTCAGTAAACGACTGTAATAATGGTAAGATTGGAATAATACATTTCAAAATGTATTTCCACAGTTCCACAGACATAGCTCGAGTCTGCAGCAAAGAAGTTAAAATTTCATTAGCCTTTTTAGAAATGTTTTCCTCATCCATCATGCCATAGTTACATAACTGAAAAAGAACTTTAGAATCCAAAATAAATCTTATTCTTTTTTCCATCAAATTTATTTCTTTCTCATTCATATAATTATTCAATATTTTTTTAACCTTTTCTTCACATTTACTGTAAGTATCAAACCTAATTTCATGATGTGGATGTGCAAGTAGATTAAGTAGAACCTTAACTGAAGTTTTGGCACAAATAGCACTCTCATCATCTATACTTTCAAAACATCGAGAACAGAGAAAAATAACACCAGTGATAAACTCTGTCTTCCGGAAGTAAGTTTGACAAAAAACAGCTTCTTGTGCAAGATGTGACAGATGCTCAGCTTTGTTTCCCTCCCATGATTCCAAACCATGCAAAAAATGATAAAGTGCACTTATACTCATCCTGACTTCCTCTGTTTGAAGGAAAGTGTGAACATCTGGATGATTTCTTAACTTAAGAAAATTCAGAAATTCTCCATGGTCACTTTTATTCAAAATTCTGTAACTTTCATCCATCATTAATTTAACAATAGTATTCGTGACAAGTGAAGAAGTTTCAGTAATACTTGGAAATAGCTTCAAAAGTTTACCCAAACTTTTAGTGATAGCAAGAAATATCGTTCTATGTTTTTCAATTTGGCCAGTGCCAGATATGGCACTCATGTACTGCTCTTCATGATAATTCATAAGCTCTCCACAAGTTTCCAGACAAAGACAGAATTCTGTTTTAAAGTTTGCATACTCATTATTATTGATAACAGAAGCACTTACAAGAGGATTTATGACTGACTTCAATAAATTAGATGCACCTTCCACAAGATTATAAACACTTCCAGCTACATGTAAGCTATGGTTATGAAAAAATGGTAAGGCACTTAAAATTACAGATATGCAATAAGCAGGTATTGTAAACAGTTTCTGAGATGAGTTCAAGCTAGGCCTTTCTTGCAACTGGTATTGTTCTGGATTTAGAGTATTCTGAGGCAAAATTAAATTAGCAGGCAATTCAGGAGAAAGTTCTTGACCATCACCTGATAAACGTTGATCATTAGTTTTAACACAGGTATTCAAGTCTTGATGCAGTGTTGGCTGATTATTTAATGAGTTAGTCAATTGACCAAAATTGCTGTCTACACCACTCTTATTGCAATAAAAAGATGCATCTTGATAAAATAATAATCTGTCATGAAGAAGACATGTCAAAACAGAGATGCATTTAAGTGCTGCTATTACAACTTGATGGTTGCTTGAATGTTCTGATCTAAGTATATTTTTAAGAGACTTTATTATATCTGGCTCCTGTAAAAACACTTCTGGTGGGAAGTCCTTAAAAATCACATCACATAAAAATTTACAAGACTGTAATATAACATTCGAATCACTACTATTAAGGGAATTGTTACTTGAAGAAATGACATGAAGGTCTGATGAGCTTAAAGATAAATATGGAAATGTTATTAACCCGAATAACTGTGTAATTCCATTATCTTCATACAAGGCTGCAGGTTCTTGGCATGAGCTATCAAAATAACAAGGTTCACTCTCAGCACGAAACCTTGTTGAAGACGTTTTTGGATGAGTAACTTCCACACAATTCTGTGATAAAGGCACATTTTTATCTCCATGACAAATAGTTTCTTGTTTGGGATTTGTGTAAAATTGCAAGTTATTATTACTGTTATAAATGTCTTTACTGACTTCAGTAAAATTTTCATTAGGAAAACTTAGTAAACTTGAAAGAATTTCATCGACTAGGATATGCAAATCTGGAGCAAGATCTAATCGAAGCTCTGAGAAAAATTTTACTCCTCCAAGGTCAATCAAAACGACAGCTGCAGATGTATGTTTCACTAGTTTATTCAGTAACTGAAGAACCTCATACTGCATGGGACAAGATTTAAAATTAAACCATTGTAACAAGTGCACAAGAAACTGTCTCTCTTGTACCAAATCGTCTTCCCTTATTATTCCATGATTTAGTTTGGCTAGGATATTTTTCAGCGCTCTAGTTCTAATTTCTTCGATCGTATGAGAAACTTTAACTAATAAAGTTGATAAATGATCATCAAAGTCGTCGTTTTTGCTTGTCATCGTGTTACTGTTATTAACGTTACATTATTGAAAAACATATATTTTAGCATGATAACTAAACCTCGAATACGTTAAATCATTGGTCTACACTATTGTTAACAAACCGTTGCAATATTTTTCTACGAAAACAAAACAACCTTGCTATATATTATTATCAATTAGGCTTATATTTAACATCTACCTATACACAGCTTTCAGCTGGCTGCCATCTACTGGTAAAGGTGTAAGTCAGGACAGAAAATTGCTGAGAATTATGAATATTTCTAACGTGTTCCAGTATGTAATACAAGAATATCAAAATAAAACCATACACCTTTGTGAAAAAATAAAATATAAAAATACTGCCTAATCTTATGCAGAGTCAAACCAAGTTATATTTTAAAACTAAACTTTCAGTCAATTTTGAATGAATTGTTTTGGCCAGCAATCGAGAATGTTCATGATGTTAGAAAAACACGTAGGTTCAAGAGATCTTGATAGAAATGAATAAAAATCCTATAACTCGAGCGCTTTGGAAAGGTGGATCTTTCTTCTTTAGGGGCAAACTGGGAATGTTAACAATAATAATCGAGAATGTTAATAGACTGGGGCGTGAATTGGTGTTGTAATAGTTTTATTTCGGAGCTGGTAATATTTTAAGGATTAACCTCATACAGACTCATTTGGTCTTCCCAATAACACAGGCATGCGATGGTTTTACTGTCTTGAAATTTTACATGTTCTACGGTATATCCTGTACGCTGAATCCGAAAATCATATCCATTTTATTCCATCACGAGCAGATTTTTCACAAAACATCATAACACAGTACTAAAAGAAAGAATACAATACGTTGCTTGGAAATTAAAAGACGTAGATTTTACACAAAAAAAATCAGGATGAATGAGAATGCATATTCGTTTGACATCAATGTTCTTCCCTTTTTTGTATATTTGTTAAAAAACATAATAATACAAAATGTTCATTGTGGTAAACGAAATAATAATTTGATTTAAGTAAGAGTTCTTTGTCTTACCGATTTATAAAAAATCCTTACGTGATAGAAAAAAAAATACATTCGCAGGCCTGTGTAATCTGAATTTTTGGACAGATCACGTACAGAATCAGGTGATATTTTTATTTACCGTGTGTAAGTGGAAAGAAAGAAAAAAGACTCGGTATGAAACTGAGGCAAAAATTAACTATTTTTGGAGATAAACGGAAGGATGGTTGATTGTCTGAGGATAATGACTATTATGTTATAGTTAAAATTATAATTGTTTAATTAAACGAAAAATTAGAATAAAATATACTAATAAATAAATTTAGGACTGTTAGTATGTAATTACTAGATGAAAAAAGCATAGATGATCAGCAGACTGAAAGATGGAGAAAATATAGAGATTTCCACAGCGAGTCTCAACTCTGAAAGCTAACTTCAGAAGTGAATGTAGTATGTTAGATTGCTGATGAAAGGAAAATGCGAGTCATGTACAAATCAAATTAAAGTTTATTCAACCTAATATATTTTGTACTTGTCGTCACGCAAGTTCAAGTGGTGATCTACTTAACTTTTTTTTTTTTTACTTTATAGTTTAACTAGAAAACAACAACAATAGTGTATTCATTTTCTATTGTATTGTCAGTCCTCCACTTTCAGAGGATTTTTAGTGTTGACTTTTATCTCAAATTCAAGTTTAAACATACCCTTGTATAGGAAGATACAAGCCTGTTCCCTTTGATAAGGACCTCCCCCCCAGTGGGACAGCAGTAAGTTTGCAGACTTAAAACGCTAAAATCTAGGGTTAGATTCCCCACATTGGACAGAGCCCTTTGTGTAGCTTTCCTTTTAAAACACAAATAAACTCTCTGTGAGGCTTTTTTTTAAATCTACATAACACTTTCTAATTTAACATTACAAAGGTTTGAAATTCGGGAGATATTAATTTTTGTAATAAACAAGGTACAGAAATAGTTAAAATGGGGGAAAATGATTATTTAAAATGAGCAAGTATATGGTACAAAACAGTAATAAATGAGTAGATACAAAAGAGAAACTTTGTAAAGAGAAAGAGACTTGTCAACGAGGAGACCCAGCAGTATAGAGTGAAATAACTGTTTAAAATGATCGGTATAATTAAACATTTTCTCTCTCAACATAATTTACGTCTAATTTATAACAGAGAATCCTTAACCAAGTGAAAGCACAAAAACAAACACAGCTTTAAAAAATCAGGACAGATTGGTCAAACAGTTCATGAACGAAGAAGCTGAGTAAATAATATTCTCTGTTCGTTAAGGCATTCTCATTGGTTCCAAACATCATCATTCCTTTGATACATTCATACAAAAGAAGAAACTTTTCAATGGACCATCTTATGTAAAATGATATAAAGGTACACTTAATGTATGAGTAACTTGTACATTAAAATCTGAGCAATCACTGGACAGAAACAAAAACAGCAATAACTATATATTACTGATAAGCTCAGTTTCTAATAGCTATGAGGAACTCCTGAATATCTGGTATAATTCAGTTCACAGTCTTGTATCTGGGTCACTTTGACATTTTATTAGTACTTCCTTCATTCAGTGATCAAGAGCCAATATATGCATAATGTATAATGAACCAACAGAATCACGAACAAGATCACTGGTAGTTATTCTTTACTTCTCAATTTAATAAGTATGGTTTGAAAAGTGTTAACTTCTTTGATTAATCATTCATTCACCCAACACTCTATATAGGTTGGATTTGCACAATCTTTAACTTTTCATCTTCTTTTAATCTTGGTCAATTATACAGTCTTGTATATTATACCAATTACATTACACATGTAATGATGGAAATTATACAAATTAAAAAAAAGAGCCTCAAAAAGTGAATAATTATAATTTTAGGTACTTTTTAATATTTAAAAATCTTTCAAAATAAATAATGTACATTTACCAAGAGCAATGATAACATGATAATAAGATTTTATTTTACATGGAGTTACAGTTTTTATATCACAAGTAAAATAAAATCTGAATGGTCAACATTCAGAATTCATCTCCTACACAGGAGTATGAAAACTGTACACATATTTACAATCTACACATGTAATATTTAAAGAAGCTCGTGTAAAACCTTAGGTATCTGAATTTTATTTTATTTCACTAAGAGACATAAACAACTATATAAATGAATGTTAACCAAAACTTTTCTACATAACTCTTCATTTAGATTATAAATGATACACCTTTTCTGAAGTATACCTTCTAAAGCTGGTTTTCCAACTGTATCAGTGGAGCCTACTGTATCTGTTTTTCATTTCTTTTGAGGAGAGAGAATAATTTGAATATCGCTACTATCAGAAATGTCAAAATTTTGACAAGTACCCAAAATTTATTCTACTAGAATTTGTTTTTAAAGAGTGACTACAATAACTGTAATTCAGGAGGTGTTAAAAAAAAAAAGATTGAAATATTTACTTAACACTGGGACTGTATTACTGAAGCTAGCAATTATCTTTAGTATTTCCAGATGGAGAGCAGGTTACACCTGTGGTAATGCTCTGGATTTTGGAGCTGGTTAGCTGTGTTCTAATCAGAGGTTTTTCCCTGCACTCCAAACTGTGAGTATGTTGTGAAAGTGACAATCAATGGTGGGCAGTAGAGTGGCACTGATTGGCTGCCTTCAATCTGTTCAGTAGTTCAAAATTAGGGACAGCAGCAGGTAGCCTTAGTAGCTTTTCCAAAAAATACATTTCCAGTAGATTCTTACCAAAGGTTATTCCCAAATTGTACAATAATCACTCAGGTATGTTAACAATGTTAAGTAGTGGTGTAAGTGTATTTCAGATATTGTTATTCTTCTCAAATTGTTCTATATTCATCACTTCACAACCCAAAGTGGTTTTTGTGGTAACGGAAACTTTTACATATCCCAAAGAAACACAATTTTTAACATATAAAAGACAAATGAATAACTATAAACATACTTTATTATTTTACTTTTCATTATGTACGACAAGAAAACAAGATTACATTATATTATTAAAAATACCTCACAACATGTATAAAAATAAATTATAAAAAAATTATTGATAAAAATAATCAATTTAAATTTGTTGCGATCACTTAATTGCTTGCTGCTTTAGCGTGCTACATTAAGTTAAAAGACAAGAACAACTACATCCTGTTCAATTCACTTTTTCTTTAGTTTATAAGCTTTGACAAACAAAGGTGTTAACATTTGTAATAGATCATTACACAAAATAACAAGTAGCTTATTTCAATTACTGTTAATTTTCAGTTTGTTTGTTGCTTTATTATTATTTTCCATCAATACTAAGTTCAGCTGATTCCAGTGCAGAGAAAAAATTATATGAATTTGCTGTTAGCCTTATATATGGATTTCAAAAATATTAAGTATTACTCCATAATTAAATTAAAAAAAATCAGTTTTTCAAATATCATTGCAAATGAACAATTTTTTTGAGTATCATAAGAAAAGTAAAAGATATTCTTAATTCTTGAAGACAGAACTGCAACTTTTATCACACACTGCATAAGTTAACTGTAAAATTAGCAACATATCATGTCCATACCTAGCCAATGCCTATATAAGCTAGGTTAAATTCTCAAACATATCATGTCCATGCCTGGCCAATGCCTATACAAGTTAGGTTAAATTCTCAACCTGTATAAACAATTAAGAGCAAAAAATAGTTTGTGTTAGCAGTATTAGTGTGAAGTGTAAAGACAGAGGAACAAATAACACAGGCCTGCAATGGTTTTATTGTCTTGAAATGTTTATATGTTCTATGGTAATTCCTGTACACTGAATCCAAAAGTGATATCAATTTTTCTCCATACCTACAGACTTTTCACAAAATGTCATATCATAATACATAAAACAAAGACCATATCACCTTGTTTTGACACTACAAGACGTAGATTTCACACACAAAAAATCAGGATGAATGAGGATGGATATTCGTTTGACATCAATGATTTTTCCCTTTTCTTCAGTTTGTTTGTATTTTTGTCAACAAACATAATAATACAAAATGTTCATTGTGGTAAACAAAATAATAATTTGATTTAAGTAAGAGGTTTTTTTTTCAGATTTGTAAAAAATCCATACGCGATAGAAAAAAATGATTATTTTTGAAATCTGTATAGCTGAATTATGGAAAATCTATTAAAACCAAAACAACTTTTATGAAGTTTAAATTTGCAGGCCTGTGTTATCAACAAGCTGATATAATAACATGTTAGTAAGTAGTTAAAGATAACACTTAATTTTGAAGATTAAATGCTCTCTGTCCATAGAATGGATAATACAGCTAATTGTTTACTTTTGTTTTGAAGTCATTAAATATTTTACAATACAAGGAAATTATACATTTCTTTAGAAACAAATTGAGGCAGGTTCTGCGCACATACAGTTACACAAAAACGACCAAACCAAAAAGCTGTCTGTAATGCAAGGCTGCTCTGGTAGATCCCAAATAATTTTAAAGGCACTGGTTTAAAAATCACTAAAGGCTAATGTCATGATTAGGTAGGTTTTGTTTTCTTTGAACTTCTACAATGAGAAAATATAAAGCTCCATTATATATATGTATGTACACACAGTTGAGTAATTATCATTTTTTAATTGGCACTGTTAACAGAGTAGCTTTAACAAATTCTCATCTACCTGTCTCCAAGAACCATTGCTGAAATACTTTATTGTCGAAAGAGAAACACAGAAAATTAGTACTTTCTAAAATTAATTAAGGGTTTTATCCTTCTTGTACTCAACTCACAAACTTAGATGAATTTCATCAAAGCATAAAAATTACATAATCATGATCAACAGTTTTCTCAAGCACATTGCAAACCAGTTGACAACTCTAAAAATATTATAAAAAGATCCAACTGGCTTAAGAAAATTTCCAAAAATAAAAAATTAGAAGTTTAAAAAAATAATACTAACTTTCTCAGTTGGTGGAAAAATAACACATCTAATGACATTTAATAGCATCAAAATACTTTATAAATTCTTGCCAAGTTAGCTGAAAATGATGTACAAATTTACGTTTTAAGAAGAAAAGCAGATGAACATAATTAAATATAAAAGCACTACAATAGGTGGGAAATAGTGAAGTAATAATATCCATTTAAAATAATTAAATCACAACCTCTTTCTCTCTTTGTACCTGTGGTTTCAAATAACTAAACACTATGATGATACTACCTTTAAAGAATCAGAGCTGTTATTTTATACAAGTAACAAAATTTGTGGCCCACAATTACTTGTAAAAAAATTATCAAGGTACTCATGTAACAAGAAAAAACAGTTGTACTATACTAATTAATCAACATTTCACACGCATACATCCCAGTATAATAATGTGAATATCTGACTATTCTTTGTCATTTTCATCATGGCTCTTTACTGGCATTTCTTGAAGAGGCTGTGCTCCTTCTTCTACATCTTCTCCAGTCAAGATTCTCTGTTCAAGTTGAATGGAATAAAAGTAACTATTGAAAGTTGCACTTAGTTTTGGTTTTGTACAAGTGAGAAGTTTACAAATTACTAATGTGAAAAATAAATTATACTCCTCAAAATATTTACAAGAATAAAACATTATGGTTATGCAGGAACAGTATTTATCTCTTAATAAATAATTTTATCTACAGTTCATCAAGAACAGTTTTTAATTACAAACCTAAAAGTTACAAGTTTTAAGTAAAAACTTTTATTACCATTAAAGACTTGTGCCTTGTAAATTCTGTGTCTTGCCTCTTGCTCTTAAACTGTTCACAGGCACAAAGGAATAAGGTATCGATGACCATCTAACAAAAAAACATCATATGGACAGTTTTACTCAGACTTAACACAAAAGTTAATATTCATATTTAGATTAATGTTTAAATATGTTTGATGCTTCTGGGTGAAGTCTTCCATTAACATTTTTTGAATCCTATGTGTATGACAGCGAATCAAAGTGTGGATGTCACGACCTTTTTATAGAGTTACATTCAAAATCTAATTGAACAACTTTATTATCAATTTATGTCAATAAACCTAGAAGAAAAATGTAGTTTATAACTCAAAGTTTTATATTCTCCAAGTTTTAATTTCTTAATTTCAAAAGGAACTATTTAAATAAATTCTTAATCTTGATTTCTGTGTGTCACATGACACATTTCCCCTGTTTCTCTTCTTTTCGTTTTCCCCATTTCTTTCTAAGGCTGTCAGAGAGAACAATGAATCAGAAACTTAAACTAAAGATATTGACAGGTCATCCATTCAAATTAGTGAGATATAAATAAATCTGACAACCATTAGTGAGGCTTCTCTCATCTTACCATAACTTTAAATGATCTTATCTATACCACGTGTTATATACATGATTATAACCAACATAAAGAGAATGTTGTCAACTTCAGGAATACACTAAAGGTTATATTTTTGGTGTACATTTGTAAATTGTTTGCCTCAGATTGTTGTTGAGCTCCAAACAGTTAAAAGAATTTAACATATTTGCAACATAGTTAGAAAATCACTTAAAATATAGTAATTTTAGGCCATTTTGATAATATTTTGTTCTAAATTTCTTTACCTTGAACTCCAGATGTAAGTACCAAATTTCTTGTTTTTCATGTATACTTTATATTTATTGTTATAAAAGTAACTACAATGTAACAACTAAAACATATTAGGTTATATACATAAGAAAACTTGCATAAAAAAATTTATTGCAATAATAAATATCCTAGCATGCTATGGGCTCAATGTGCATTTGTAATTCATTTGTGTTGTGCCTGTAACTCGACTGTTTATTTACACAAATCTGTCCAGCTGAGATAAATGGATTTCAGCATATTCTGAAACTGTCCAAGTATAGCTGTAAAGCAATAAAACTAAATGAACCCAGAATTGAAAAGTCTAATAGCTTTGGATTTAAGAATAAATAGTGTATAACCATCTGTTACAATAGGCAGTCATTCTAGAAAAAAATGTTAATTCAAATTTATGTCGTATTTTTTTCAACTTTTCATTTTACCAGCATTAATGATTTCACTATATTTAATGTAAGAAAACATCAGATAAAATTCAAAGCTTTACTGCAATTGAAACATGAAAACTTTAGATGAAAAAGTATTTTTATTCTTAACATGAAAATCACCATGCACTCACAGCCTAGTCAAACTGATTCAGTAAATTTTAAGAAAAAATATTTGTAATGTTTACTATAAGCCTACCAAATTTTGTGAAGATATACCTAGTAAATTTAGAATTATAGTACTTATTGCTATATTTAGCTTTACAGAAAATAATGCAAAGCACCAACACCATTCACATAGGGTTAATTAAACAGTCGGGCTTAACTGTTTCAATTATCTAGCTATTCCAAAACTTGCTTAACTACTTCAGGTTATTACATATATGAATTTTTATAGCATTTGTATGTGTGTGTCTACA